TGACAATGAAAATCTGAGAAAGGCAGCAGCATCACGAAAGGCTACGATTATTTGGGAATTTTGGAAGCTTCCGATTTATTACAGAATCAAGTCAAAGGTATTTGTACCCAGTATATTATCAAGACATATCCCAGGTCCTTCAGCTGACTGAGAGTGATCTTGTCAATGCTGATGATATTCAAGTGATGCTCCAGTTGTTTAGGGATTGCACACAAAGGAACCATTATTATAATTATTCATTAATATTCTTCATTATTCTTATTTACTATCGGAATTAACTATTACTATTTCTGGCGTTGTGCAGTAGCCTTAAAGTTGTAATGGAAATGGAAAGAATAGAATAGAATAGAATAGAATAGAATAGAATAGAATAGAGGATAGGATAGGATAGGATAGGATAGGGGAGAGGAGAGGAAAGCACAGAATAGAATAGAATAGAATAGAATAGAATAGAATAGAATAGAATAGAATAGAACAACAGAACAGAACAACAGAACAGAACAACAGAACGGAACAGAACAGAACAGAATAGAATAGAATACAACTGGAAGGAACCTTAGAGGTCTTCTAGTCCAGCCCCCTGCTCAAGCAGGAGACCCTATACTATTTCAGACAAGGGGCTGTTCAGTCTCTTCTTAAAAACCTCCCGTTATGAAGCCCCTACAACTTCTGAAGGCCAGTTGTTCCACCAGTTAATTGTCCTCACTGCAAGGAAGTTTCTCCTTAATTCCAGGTTGCTTCTCTCCTTGATCAGTTTCTTAACTTTTCCAGTTAAGACACTGGACTTGTCGACTGAAAGGTGGGCAGTTCAAGACCCAAGTACCACATGGCCGGGTGAGCTCCCGTTACTTGCCTCAGCTCCTGTCCACCTAGCAGTTCGAAACCATGCAAATGCAAGTAGATAAATAGGTATCACTTTGGTGGGAAGATAACAGCATTCTGTGCGCCTTAGCATATAGTCACGCCAGTCACATGACCACAGAAACATCTTTGGACAATGCTGGCTCCCTCAGCTAGGACACTGAGATGATACTTTCCCCTAGGGTCTCACATGACTGGACAAGAAAAACCTTTACCTTTTAAACCTTTATTACTATCTCTGGGAATTTGCTTTTAATTTATTTTAAGACTCCTGATTGTCCAGAGTCACTTGCTGAGCTAAGCGGCCCTACGAATTCAATGAATACAGATGAATAAATGCATGTGTTTTAGTAGCTTGTTAAAAAGGAAGTGGGAAGAGAGTTGGGTGGAAGAGAATGGCAACTCTACTGCTTCTAAGAGAAGATGATTAAGCAGGATGTCAAGGAGCTTCTTGGAAGCTGGGTACCCAAAAGCCATGCTTTGCTTTTTTTCGCTCACTCTCCGTAGCTCTTTCCATTTCATGTTCCAGAAATTTTCATGAGTTGCATTCCAGAACTGCATTGCTACGTTGCGCTTCCTTCCCTCGTGTGGCTCTTTACCGTGCAAAGATTTGGCGTTCTCTTGAGTATTTTCCTCCTCAAGGCAGTTTGTAAGAGCAAAGCAAATTAAGACACAATGGATAAGCCAGCAATTTAATTTCACAACGGTTTGCAGCAAAAAAGCAAATATTAGACGCCCCTCAAATATTAGCATCTTGTCAGGCGAAGATGATGTTTTTACAGCATTTGTTGTATATCTGTTTTTGTGATGGGCATTCAAATAGTTGCATCCTACAGACCTGAGCAATATTTTTTACAATGCATAAATGGTCAATTGTTGGCTTAGGGAGCATCTGCAATCCTTGGACTAACCAGTCCAATGTCTTTTTGGAAGAATTGATTCCCCAACTTCTGCCTGGACTTCTATAGATTTTGTTGCAGCTTTAAATGTGGCAAAGTGCTGATAAAAACGCAAAAATAAGAAGGAGTTTGTGAAACTGGGTTTGGTTTTAATTACAGCTGTCAGGGTTTCTGGCTGTAAAATGTGGAATTGTATACGCATGGCCAGAATGTTTAGTCCTTTGGCATCGCAGAATGGGAAGCAGAATCTCGAATTTGCTAGGAGCTGAACTGAAAAGGAATTGAATCCAGTCTGGCGCAAAGGACTGTACATTGTTATCCGTTTCGTTCAGCTGAACCATATGATTTTGATTCTTTGTATGGCAGATGAATGGGAGGTTATTTGAGTATCTCTTGGATTATATGAGCTCCGATTGGCTTGGCAAAATCTGTGCGCAGAGAGAGAGAGAGAGAGAGAGATGGAGAGAGATGGAGAGTGTACTGGAAAGAGAACTTTCAAAAGAAACTTGAGGTTAAAACAATTTATGTAACAATAATTTTTTTTAAAAACCTCTAGTTTATGCAGCAGACTTTATGGAGATCAGATGTTTAAACATTATAGTTGCCAGTTGAGCTGATGGGAGAAAGGAAGACAGGGAGGAACTGTCCATCATAGTAGCCAACTTTCCTCTATACCAAAGATCTCCAAACTTGGCAACTTTAAGACTTGTGGACTTCAACTCCCAGAATTCCCCAGCCAGCCATAGGAAGTCCACTGGCTTCCTGCTGGCTTCCCCAAAGCAAAGTCAATGGGGAAAACAGCGGGAAGTCAAAAGTTGCAGTCATAAAAGATCCTCACTTAATGACTTGCTTGATCCTTACTTAATGGTGCCAACCAGGGCATCCATAATGACCATCGCTAAGTGGCACAGCCATGTGGTTTTTCAGTTTACAACCGCATCACTTAATGCTTCCAGTCCCAGTTAGCCTTCTTAAACAAAGACTGCCTTCCATGGTAGCTGATTTTAGGATTTTTTTTTCACACTTCTGCAATTGATAGGAACTTCCTGAAAGCAGGGGGAGACTAATGACATTTTTTGAAATAACAGTGTGATCCAATTTCAACGAGATTATGGACAGTTCGTGAATATGGTTATATTTAGGACTTTGGTAGGAGCGTAGAGTTTGATGATGAACCTAGATCAGGGACAGTGATAGGATTGAAAAATTATTTATTACCGGTTCTGTGGTGTGGCTTGGTGTGGGCATGGCTTGGTGGGCATTGCATACTGTAAAATCTCCATTACCACCCAACTCCAGGGGAAAGTATACTGCAAAATCCCCATTCCCACCCCACCCCACTAACCTGCTTTCCAGCTCCATTCTCCTGTGCAGGGCAACAAAAGGAGACCCAGCCAATCTGGGACTCAATAGGAGGCAGAGAATAGATGGGGGTGGCACCAGTGAGAGGCAGTATTTGCTGGTTCTCCGAACTACTCAAAATGTCCACTACCAGAACCGGTTCTCCAGAACTAGCCAGAACCTGCTGAATGCCACCTCTGATCAGGGGTGTCGAACTCAAAGCCCGGGGACTGGATCCAGCCTGCAAGGTACTGAGATCTGGCCCAGAGGCCCACCCTGGAAACAGTGAAGGACCAGCCTGCGATGCTTCTGCCAGTGAAAACAGGCTCCTGAGCTCGGTTTACAGCTGCCACGGCCCCCTGCAACCCTCTGCCAGTGGAAATGGAGCCCTCCTGAACTCCGTTTTCACTGGCAGAGGATCGCAGGAGGCAGTGGCAGCCGAAAATGGAGCTCAGGATCCCGTTTCTGCTGGCAGTGTGCTTGGGCCACCACAGGCACCCACGATACGAATGACATCAAGCTGGCCACGCCACCCTGGCCACGCCCACTCTGCCCCCCCCCTCTCCCTAAGGTCAAACCCAACCCTGATGCAGCCATCAATGAAATCGAGTTTGACACCCCTTACCTAGATGGTATCATACAGGGCAAATAACTTTGGAGAATGAATTGGGGCAAGGATTGAACTCTTGTCCCTAACACCGAGAGGCAGTTTGGTGTAGTGGTTAAAGTGCCAGATTAGGAAACGGGAGACTGTGAGTTCTACCCTTCCTTAAGTGAAAAAAATCAGGAATTGGGCCACCTGGCTCAGTATCTCTTTTAAGATTATATCTAAAAACATTTTAAAAATTTTAAAAAAAGGTTTGGACAGGGATGTCCCTTTGCCTTCTCTGGTTGTGGAGGAATTCTGAGCTCTTTCATTGTTCATAAAATGTTCAGTTTCTTTTTCTGTGTCGATTGACTGCCTTCTTTGAAGTCCTTCTTGAAAGATACTATTTTACTGCTTTAATTTGGAGGGAAAAAAATGTAAACATACAAAAAGGCACTTCAAGATCCAAAGAGAAAATCCTCCAGATTCCTTTTTATGCAGGAATTTTAAGCCCTGAGGACAAATTTAACAGTAAGTTGGGTTTAAAAGGGGTGTCTTTAAATGCCTTCTGTATGTCACAATCTGTGCAATTTGAGGAGTGGCAATGCATACATTAAGTGGGTTGTACTGTTCTGACCAAGGCTTCCCGAGACTGTAATTAAGCACACGCTTAGTTAAAACAACTCTTGTTTTATTTCAACCCTGGGAATTATGTTCCTTCCCAGCCCGTAATGAGTCCCAAACAGTCCCTCGAGATAAGCACCTACCTTTCTCTCCTTTGAATTGCTGCCAATAACTAGAGTGCCAAATTCATTGTAAAAAACCAACCAAAGTACAAAGTCCACAAAGAACTTAAAGAATGAATCTGAACCGAGCGAACGACTTTGCTTCCTGCAAAGGTTTCATCACCTTTGCCTGTCCTTTATACCTTATGGGAGGGGCAATCACCTCCAAGCCTTACTCCCAAGTCGCCCCTTTTGTCTCAGCTGCTCTTGCCTTCTAACAGCTCTGTGCACACACGCACTGGGAACAGGCTCCCCTGGGTCCTCTGCCTTGCCTCTGCCAGACTCTGGAGGCTCCAAAGGCAGCCCCCCACTCCCAGATGGTCCTGGCCCCATCCCTGCATCAGATGCAGGACCCTCGTCTGACTCTCTCCAGACTCCTGGACTGATCCTCGTTCTTCCCCACTGTCTGATTCCACTGCCATCTGCACAGGCTGTCAGTGAACCACAACATGTTCTGTAGAGATTGTACTCTTTAAATCCAGTTTAAAGTTTGAAGATGCAAGTCCCTTTTCTCCTTCTGTTTTCCAGCTGCCTTTATAGGAGATATCGCCTTGGATGAGGAGGACCTGAAGTTGTTCCAGGTGGACAGAATTGTGGACCTCACAAGGCATAAAGTTGAAAGAACTGCTACGAATATTTCAGGTAGGGTTTGTTAACCTTCATAATGTTAGCGTCAACTCATAAAACATTCCTAGGCCTGTTTTAGTAGTTGCCATAAAAAAGAGGGGGCGGGGAAGGAAGGAAATGTGGAGGAGCAGTACAGCATTTGGAGGCGAGAGTACATTCCAACTCTTATCTTTAAAAGATTGTAACTGAAATACCAGAGTTTTGCCCGTGAATATATTTAATTGGACAATGTGAATGATGACACCCAGCCTGTGAAGGTGCTCAGTTGGAGAATCTGATTTATGACACACCCAGGAGCGGGGAGGAAACAGGGTCACAGGGGACTGTAAATTACGTATGCCACAGTTGGCTGCATACAGGGCAGTGCCAGTATGTCACCTCTAATGAATCATTTGCAGTTTTTTGAAGTTTGGCTCAAGAATCATGATTTAATTAGGGCGATTGCTGGAATCCCGACAGTTAGAGATGGAGGTACAGGTAGTCCTCAAGGTACGACCACCATTGAGCCCCAAATTTCTGTTGTTAAGTGAGACATTTGTTAAATGAAGTTTGCTTTGTTTTACGACCTTTCTTGCCACAGTTGTTAAGTGGATCCCTGCAGTTAGTCACATGGTTGTTCAGGGAATCTGGCTTCCCTATTGACCTGGCTTGTCAGAAAGTCGCAAAAGGAGATCACATGACCCCCCAGGGACACTGCAATCGTCATAAATATGAGCCATTTGCCAGGTGTCCAAATTTTGGTCACGTGACCATGGGGATGTTAAAATGGTGGCGTGAAAAATGGTCATGTGATCTTTTTCAGTGCCGTTGTAACTAAGTGAACTGTTATAAGTCAAGGACTACCTGTACAGATACTCTAATTGCATGCCTTCTCATACAGAAGTCATTGGAGCTACAATTTTTTCTTAAAAAGTTGGCCATAAACTGCTTAGCACTTTCTGGCAACAACAGAAGAGAATAGTTGTAGTTGAGGGTTGAGTGTAGTGGTAGTGAAGACGCGTGCCTCCCACTTGGAAGGTTGAGTGTTCAATCCTTTTTTAAAAATTTTTTTAAAAGGCTTTATTAAAGTTCAAGACATTAAAAAGTTTACAAAAAGCAAAATGTTAAAAAGATTTACAAAAATTTCTGTAATAGAAATTGTATCGACATCTTTCAATATCATTTTCTTGGCAGTACACTAAATGCCATATATATGCATAGAATTCGACAGTTTTTTTAGCATATTAACTATATTAATTCACAGTTCTTAATTAATGTTAGTAAAAAGTATATCATCTTTATAGGTCACTAATTCAGGTAACAAAGGAAAGGAAAAAAATGAATATCATATTGACACAATATATGTATATATATCTAAAACAAACATCAGGGGTATTTATAGACTATGTGCTGTAGTTTAATATTCCATAGGTATGAGGGGAGGAATTTTTATCCTTCATTATTGCATATTTCTATATATTTCTATAGTATATCTAGTAATTATAAATCCTAATCTGGATGTCTGTCTAAATCTCGATTTTTTCCCTTGCAGTTCCTCAATTTCTACAATTTCTCCCTCATCTTGTCTGTTTGCTAATATTCCAATTTTATTTCCCTTTTTTCTTCTTTTTAAATTCCTTTTGTGACCTGAGTGTTCAATCCTAGGCAGATATTTCTCTCTTAGGGTACAACGAAAACAAAATATCTGCTATGAACTCTTGTCAGGTGTCAGGAAGGGCATCCAGCCAGTAAACACTCAGCTACATCCAGTCTCCCTGACTCTACCCCGAATTAAGGAGTATTACAGGATGGTAAAAGGGAGTTTTTATTTGTAACTCTGCATTGAACTGTGGGGTCCTTGGTGCTCTCTGAGCTTGGTTGTTTTCTTCCAGACATCTCATTACCCAACTAAGTAACATCATCAGTGCTACAAAGGTGTGGACTAACCCCACTCCCTTCTAGCACTGTGATGTTACCTCTAGTTGGATAATAAAATATCTGCAAGAAAACAAATATGTTCAGAGAATACCAAGGACACTGCTTTTTGGCAAGCCTGAAACCTCCAGCCTTGTGCCAATTGACAAAATCTTCATCTGTAGCCATACACCTGCTAAAGGGGAGACAAAATTGCAAAGTTTAAAGTGATGCTTGATATACAGTTATTGTTATTAAATGGACAAGCACCTCTCAAACAAAGGAATCATGGATGGAAACTGATCAAGGGACAGGTTCAACCTGGAAATAAGGAGAAATTTTCTGACAGTGGGAACAATCAACCGGTGGAACAGAAGTTGCCTTCGGAAGTTGTGGGAGCTTCATCACTGGAAGCTTTCAAGAAGAGACTGGACTGCCCTCTGTCAGAAATGGTGTAGGGTCTCCTGCTTGGGCAAGGGGTTGGACTAGATGACCTAGAAGGTCCCTTCCAACTCTGTGAATCTGCGAACCTTAATAGTATCTATTAATTTTAAAACCAAGCCTATGTACAGTATATCTGTTTACTTTCCTAGAAAAAATGAAGTTATGTTAACATTTGCCTCTCTCACCATCCATAAATCCTTTCAGTTGAGTTGACAATAATTAACTTTTATATTTATTCTTCACTGCCAACCACAAGTTCCATTATGAAGACCGCCGTCCCAGACTTACAATTTAAAACACTTGCTGAACATTGTGGAATGACTTCCCAATTAAAATATGTATGGCTACACTAGTGTTTGTAATTAGAGTTTATTTAGGGTACTTCTAGACAAGGGGTGTCGAACTCAAGGCCGGATCCAGCTTAGATCTGGCTCACAGGGCCGCCCTGAAAATGGCAAAGAACTGGCCTGCAGTCCCTCTGTCAGCGAAAACGGAGCTTGGAAGAGCTGCACGCAGCCTACCCAAGCTCATTTTTGGTTGCAACAGCCTCCCGCAGCCCTCTGCCAGTGAAAACGGACCTCGGGAGGGCTGTGCAACAGCCTTCCCAAGCTCCGTTTTCGCTGGCAGAGCACTTGGGCCACTATAGGCGCCCCCGACATGAATGACATCAAGGTGGCCACGCCCACCCTGGCAATTCCCACCCATCCACCTGAGGTCAAACACAACCCCTGTCGTGGCCCTCAATAAACTCGCGTTTGACACCCCTGTTAAAGACATTTTTTTCCCCCCTCTCCTAAAATTTAATGTCGAATTCAAAATTGAACAGAACTAGAAGAAACTATTTTATTAAAGCATCACTTTTTTTTCTTGAGCATCTACAGCACCTTGCAGAGAAGATACCTGTCAGGTGTAGCTCCATTCAAAATCCAAGAAAGAAAACCTTAGACTCCATGGTTATAGAGAAAAGGACTTTTACTGAAAATTGAAGTGGTAGCATCAGAAGAAATACCAGATCTGAGGCAACAGGCGTGAAAATCACCTATAGAAAGTTATGCCAGTGTTCCCACACCCAATAATTCAAACTCGCCATCCAATCTGAGGTGTGTATAGTGTCATGTGGGGCATCTTCAGGTGGCATTTCACGCATCTGGTATACCAACATGGTTGACCTTGGCCTAGAGAGATAAGAGGCTACATCTGCGCACTAAGCAAGTAAGCATAGTCAAGAAAACATCCCAACTTTTACATTTCACCAGATTAAACCTCCAGCACCCTTCCCTCACACGAAGCCCAATTATTCTTCCCTCCCCTCATTTCTATGGCAGCCAGAAAGACAGCAGAAGAAGGATTCTTGGAGACTGACAATACCTTTTCTTGGTTAAATCCGAGCAGAGATGGTTCAGTCCGTCCGCCTCAGTTATTGGCCGGCAACACCAAAAAGACAATTTTCTTACCTCCTCGAGAAAGGGTGAACATAGTCAACCACAAGGGCCTCACCTCCTCACCACGGTCACTCTCCTGTATTCTGTTTGCCACCTTACCACATTCAGGCTGCCCAAGGAAAGACCTCTTTTGCCGATTACCATGACTTCTGCAACAACAATCGCAGCTTGAAGTTGCCACATGGGGACGTGTGAGGTTCAAACACAATAATGAAAGATCACTAAATCATCAATTGATCAAAGTTTGTGCTCAATCTGTCCTATAACTGGATCAATATCAACATACGGGACAGTCCTCAGACACGATATTGGAATCATAATTGGACTGTGGTGTGTGACTGCATACTCTTTCTAAACAACTTATCAACTACAATGATTCACTTAACCACTTTGGCAAGCAAGGTCGCAAACCGGGGGAAAGCTCACTTCATAAATGTCTTACTTAACAACAGGAATTTCGGGGTCAATTGTGACCGTATGTTGAGGACTTCCTGTATAGACCTTTTGCGGAGAAGGCCTTCCCCAAGGGCTTAACCAAAAATGACGAAAGGAGTGACAAAAATCACTGCAAGGAAGATAAACAGAGTGTGAAAACAGAGTGTTGCATCCATCATGTTCCTGTGAAAAGAAAATCGGGCATTTGCAATACTACTGTTAGCTCAGCTGCTGTTCCTGCAGAGATTTGAAAGCAGGCACAGTCACCTGGCACACATCCACTGATAACATTGGCAGGATCCTGGATCACCAGGAAAAAAAGGACAAAAGTAGCAAAGATACATACCCTCTTTGAGGAGGCTCAAGTGATCAGCTGTGGGTTGTTTTTTTTTTAGTAAAACGAGAACCATTATGCGAAGGATTTTTCCTTGGACTAAAGAAATCTCTCCCACCATTGACATTTGCTCAATGTCTGCAAGAAAATTATGTATGTAATACTTTTCAGTCATTGTTGACTCCTGGCAACTACCTAGACAGGTTCCTGCAGTATTCTTAACAATGTTTTTAGGAAGTATCTTCTTGCCTTCCTTTTTTCTTCTTCCTAAGACTGAGAGAGAAATGCTGGTTCAAAGCCATCCAGTTGACTTCATGCAAACCCCATGTCCCCAATTTTTAGCCTGGTACCTTTCTTCCAGTGGTGGGCTACAACTGGTTTAACAACCGGTTTGGTGAGCACACGCTTCGCGCGCATGCACAACGTTCAAAAACCACCTATTTTAAGCTTAAAAATTTACCTTCTATGTCAGTGCTGGTGAATAAAACAGCTGAGGCGCGGAAATTTGCTGTGCTGCGCAAATCAGTTGAGCTAAAAAACAGGAAAATATAGGACAGGAAAGGGTAGGCTGGCAGGGCCAACTACTCACTGGAACTACCGGTTCTGTAGAACCGGTTCGAACCAGTAGCAGCCCACCACTGCTTTGTCCCTATATCAAAGTAGCATCAAAGTATAAGAATAGAACATCAAAGTATAACATCAAATAAAATAAAAGTATAGCATCAAAATATAAGAGAAAAGGAATGAAAAACTAGGGGGTCCACAGTACATCCAACCTACGCAAATTGGCATTCCAGATATGTTCTTCAAGTGTTAATGGTTGGCCTGTTGGTTTTAACTCACAAATGTTGTGGACTTTTGAACAAAGGGATGGTCCACGTGGTCAGCCTTGAAGGTAATGGTTGGATTGTGGGAAAAGGTGGCCACAAGGTGTCCTGTTTTCTTTGTGGACTTCTAGTTGAAAAGATATGGAACCAAAATGGAACCAAGAGTAGCAATAGCAATAGCGCTTAGATTTATATACCACTTCATAGTGTTTTACAGCCTTCTCTAATGGGTTTACAGAGTCAGCATATGGCCCACAACAATCTGGGTCCTCATTTTACCCACCTCCGAAGAACGGAAGGTTGAGTCAGCCTTGAGCTGGTCAGGATCAAACTGCTGACAGTGGGCTTGCAACACTAACCATGATAGCACCAACTATCAACGAACTCATGCAACCAGCACCTCACCTCCCAATGACCCTATCCCGACATGATCTCCCAATCACAAGATCCATCAGAAGACCCTCAACTGACATGACCCAAATCTGACCCACCACAATATAACACACTAACTGGATGCAACCCACACCTGACCCATCACAAGACCCTCACTAACGTGACCTCCCAATCACAAGACCTACACACGAAGTTCTTATAAGCAGAAGAACACCAGCACTGACATCCCCTAACCAGGGTTGTTAAATTGGATTTCTCCAAGAGCCGGATCAGCATTATAGTTCTCCTCTGCAGGCCAGCGGGGGGTGGGGGTGGGACGGACACCTCCAGCACCCTGCTGGCCAAAACGGGGCACGGAGGGTCCACGCACTGCTCCCCTATGCCTTTTTTTCACCCTCCATGGCCTCCTGCAGCACTCTGCTGGCCGAAAACGGGCTATGTGGCCTGTTTTTCAGCCATTTTCGGCCCGGTTTTCAGCCTGTTTTGGGCCCAGTTTTTGGCCCAGTTCCGGCCAGCAGAGTGCTGCAGGAAGCTATGAAAGGTGAAAACAAAGCGCAGGAGGAGGCCACACGCAGCCCATTTTAGCCACCAGAGGCACCGTGGGCCAGTCGCTTGATATTACTAGACTGGCCACATGGGCCAGACTTAAGCACCCCATGGGCCCAATTCAGTCTGCGGGCCTTGAGTTTGACACCCCTGCCCTAAACTCTACTGAAGATATTAGCTCCGTAACAAACCCACAAGCTTGGAGAACGAACTTCCACCTTCAATCCTTCTTGTACATATATACCACAAGGCTTATCTTCTATAGCAGTGGTGGCTAACCTTTTTGGGCTCCTGTGCCGAAAATTGCATGCGCATGTGCCAGCACCACATCACAGGCTGGGTCCTGCCCGCAGGCCTTGTGTTGGACACCCCTTATTTAGATTGTTGTCTCTTCACAGGGAAAGATGCAAACAGCACCAACATCCGACCTGGAAGGCAGCAGAGGAGACGATGGAAACAAGGCTGGGGAAGGCCTCGGAGTCGGCGAGCGGCCACTTCCCGGCCCGAGAGGGTGTGGCCAGATGGAGTAATTCCATACGTGATCACCGGAAACTTCAGTGGTGAGTTGGAATTTGAAGATGAGTTTAAAATGTTCATTCGTGGCGGGTTCTGTTTTGACCCAACTCTTTGCTTCTCTACATTTCATGGGTATTACTGGGTCTTTTAAGACTCTTGGCATCTTTCCAAGAGATGGCTTTTAATTGTGCAATTTCGTTTGCGCAATTTTGACATCATTATCTTCTCTTAGTGACTACTCTGACTTTTCCTAATGCTGTTCTTTCCTCTTTGTGCAGAAGAGGGAGAGTCATTAGAAAAGAAAATGGCAAAATAACTGCCTGGTAGCATTTGACAGATGTATTGTTACTCCCTGAAAATTAATATTCATATACCAGTGCATAATATATTGGAGTGTTTGCAGCTGGGCCTTCCTTGTTTCCCTTTCTCTTCGTTTCCTTTCTCGTAGCAATTTAGAAATCCTTGAATCACAATTTGATCTTCTCTTGAGGAGCTGTTGAAAAGAGGAAGCAGGAAAGAAATTAGGCTGAAACCCTTTATGCAGCTGTTCCAAACTGAACATCATCTATAGAAATTTCTCTTTTTCTGGCTAGAATCTGCAACTGCCGTCTCTTTAATTTTTGAATGCAGCTGTATTTTTCTAGATGGAATTGAAGCTTGAGAAACATTTTGTTCGTGAGTCTGTGAAGTATCTATTGTGCTTTATAATCTAGCTCACACGTACCTGCTCACAATGTCCCTGAGGTAGACAGATTGGGGTGCATTGTCTCTAGAACAGCCAATCTTTTATACTTTCTGATCATTTTGTACAATTCATGTTTAATCCTAAGGCCGGATACAAATGAAACATTGAATACATAAATATATCTGTCTGTCTGTCTATCATCTATATCTATCTATCTATCTATCTATCTATCTATCTATCTATCTATCTAT